GAGCAGCGAAACGTCATATGCAAGGAGAGCGTCAAGGCAAGTGATGGCAACACCACAAACTTGTTTAATCACTTGAAAAGAAGGCATCCCAAACAATACAATGAGAGCCAGCTGGCAGCTAAAGCTAAAAAGCCTGCGGCTACAGCGGCAGCAGCTAGTGCTTCTTCCAGGCAGCAAACGCTAACAGAAACACTCACAAAACTCACTCCTTACGACAGAGACAGCAGACGATGGAACAGCGTGACAGATGCAGTGACGTACCACTTGGTTAAAGATTTGTGTCCCGTGCGAACAGGAGTGGGATTTAAGAAAATGATAAAAACATTGGATCCGCGCTACGAGTTTTCCAGCCGCAAGTATTTTTCAAACACCGCCATTCCACGCATGTACGCTGAATGCAAAGTGAGCGTTGCAGAAAATATTCAGAATGCGCAGTTATTTGCTACCACAAGCGATCTCTGGTCCAGCCGCACATCAGAGCCGTATTTGAGCTTAACTATCCACTACATGAGCAACTGGGAGCTACATAGTATTTTGAACAAGTTAATGTTTGCACAATACATTTGCAATTGACATGTTTGCACTTTAAATATGTTTACGATTTTAATTTATGTTAAGTTACATGAAAAACGAGAAAAACTGATTTTTGTAACTGTTTCTCTCAGGGCTTTTATCATCTCTGGTGTGAGTTTAAAATATAAGTGTGTTAGCACTGTGCTGGTTATCCCTAATATGAATAAATGTTTATTTATTCAATGTTTCTCTTCTTTAAGCTGAAGTTATGCTATTCATGGATGAAAAATCGTGATAAAATCGAAATCGTGATAAAATATTGGAAATATCGTGATATTCTATCTTTGCCATATCGCCCAGCCCTACGTGAGAATGAGCTAAAACCACCTGGCGAAAAAGAACAACGGGGACAATATGGTGGAGTTGCACAGTGGGGAAAGAAAATAGTTTAAAAAATGCATCATCAAGTCCGGGAGATCGACAGACGGATTGGTTCGGCATCTGCAGTGATGTGGACGCTGAACCGATCTGTCGTGGTGAAGAGGGAGCTGAGCCAGAAAGCCAGGCTCTCGATTTACTGGTTGATCTACGTCCCAATCCTCACCTATGGTCATGAGCTTTGGGTAATGACTGAAAGAACGAGATCGTGGATACAAGCGGCCGAAATGAGTTTCCTCCGTAGGGTGGCCGGGCTCAGCCTTACAGATAGGGTGAGGAGCTCGGACATTCGGGAGGGACTCGGAGTAGAACCGCTGCTCCTCCAGATCGAAAGGAGCCAGTTGAAGTGGTTTGGGCATCTGGTCAGGATGCCTCCTGGACGCCTCCCCGGGGAGGTGTTTTGGGCATGTCCTGCTGGCAGGAGGCCCCCGGGTCGACCCAGGACACGTTGGAGAGGATACATCTCCAATCTGGTCCGGGAACGCCTTGGGGTCCTGCCGGAAGAGCTGGTGGAGGTGGCTGGGGAGAGGACGGTCTGGAGCTCCCTAGTTGGGATGCTGCTCCCGCGACCCGGACCCAGATAAGCGGAGGAAGACGACGTCGACGACGACGGTCATCAAGTCCTAATGTTTGGGCTCACAAAACAAAGCTCGATGAAAATGATGCAGCATGCAAGAACTGCCTCATAATAGCATGGTCTTGAACCAGAAAAGGGTAGAACACCTTCTCCAGGTCAGGGAAGAGGGTCCTGCCCCTGGGGGAGGTGTTTAAGTATCTCAGGGTCTTGTTCACAAATGAGGGAAAGATGGATCAGTGGATCGAAAGGCGGAAATGTGCTGAGTCAACAGTGATGACGGATGTTGTACCATTTTGTTGTGGCAAAGAGAGAGACAAGACAAATGCAAAGCTCTCAATTTACCAATCTACGTTCCAACGCTCATCTATGATCACGAGGTTTGGGTGGTGACCAAATGAGCAAGATCGTGGATGCACGCAACCAAAATGAGTTTTCTCTGCAGGGTGTCTGGGCTCTTCCTTAGAGTTAGGGTGAGAAGCTCTGTCATCCAGGAGGGTCTCGGAGTAGATCCGCTGCTCCCCCACATTAGAAAAGCTGGTTGAGGTGGCTTGGGCATTTGGTTAGGATCTATTTTCTTGCTCTTTTCTCTTTGTTTAGGGTTTCTTGGGCACGTCCAACCGGGAGAAGACCTATGAGGAAGATCCAGGACACGCTCGAGGGACTATGTTTCTCAGCTAGCCTGAGAACGCCCTGGGATTCCCCCAGAGAAGCTGGCCCAAGAGGCTGGGGAGAGGGAAGTCCCCTGAACAAGTGCAGGAAAATGAATGAACAAATGGTCAAACGAACGAAGGGATGAATCTTTTTCAAACCCTGCCTTCAACAAGACATTGTAGTAAAAAGAAGAAAAATCTAATGTGGTGTTTGGTCTTGCTTTTCCTTATAATTTAGAGCTTAAACTGAGATTTTCTCTAACTGAATCATGAGCATTAGTTTTTTGACTCATTCTAAGGATGTTATCTGCTCTTAAGCTTCTAAATTCAATTCAATTCAAGTTTATTTATACAGCGCCAACTCACCACAAGAGTCATCTCAAGGCACGTCACATAATAAACATTCCAATACAGGTCAGTTCATTAAGCCAATCAGAAAAAAGTTTCCTATATAAGGAACGCAGCAAACTGCATCGAGTCACTGACTAGTGTCAGAGTCTTTCCAGCAATCCTCATACTAAGCAAGCATTTAGCGACAGTGGAGAGGAAAACTCCCTTTTAACAGGAAGAAACCTCCAGAGGACCCGGCTCAGTATAAGCAGCCATCCTCCACGACTCACTGGGGATCGAGAAGACAGAGCACGCACACACGCGCACACACACACACACACACACACACACACACACACACACACACACACACACACACACACACACACACACACACACACACACACGTACCAAGTAGTGTTTCCATGGTTACATTGTGATTTCTTAGTAAATATTCTATTTGGTGAGAGACAAACTTTATTGTATTTATCCTAGTGAATCTATAACTAAACGGGTAAACTAGTAGTAGCACATCCAACGTCAAAGAAAGTAAAATGTTATTATCAGGAGAGGGAGAATGTTTAAGTGGTTAGCAGCAGTGTTCAAGACGATGGCCCCCCTTAAGTTAATCAAGGCTCAAACCAGGTGTAGCATCATTTATTACATTATAACCCAATGATATCTAAATCCAGTTCATTTAGACAACTTTATGGCCCTAAGTTTTGAAATGATCTTCCACTCTGTTAGTCAGTCGCTGTGCACCTTCAAAGTTTGTCTTAAGACCAATTTGTTTAATCTGGCTTTTGACTAATTTAACTTTTGAAGTCACTGTGCTTTGACTGGGGTTTATGCCATGGTTTTCAGTTGTTTTATATTGTTTTTTTTTTATTAAGCTATTTGATTTATGTCCTCTTATAACCATGTCTAAGGTAGTTGGGCTCTTATGACCTATGTTTTATAAATAAACTACAACTGGGAACTTCAGAAAAACAAATAATATATTTAAAACGCACCTATTTTCCTCTGATGCAGAAAGCACATATCTCTTAAGTTTCATCTCATAAATGCAAGACTGTAACTGGTTTTCTGTTGAGGAAAAAAACAGACTTTCATCCTGAACAGTGAGACAGCTCGCAGCACTTAGCACAGATAATAAATAAATAAAAGGTAGGATTACAAGGCTAAATGGAGGAAATCAAATTGCCTGACACAGCAGACACACACTAACTGAAGGACTTAGTGAGCTTTCCAGAGATGTACGGTACGCCCTGGAAATAATGGTGACCCACTCATGCACTTAAACCCTGTTGCATGAAATAGTGTGTACCACAGGTGAAATAGCACCAGTGAAACATAAGCAGGACACAGTAGTTGAAGTAAAAGATCGACCCAATGATATAAAAGCAACTAGACAGTTGTGTCCTGCAGAAACAAAAATGATTGAACTTGACTGTAACCAAATTTGAAAAGCTGAAGTGCACTCACCCTGCACTGCTGATCTGAAAGGAGGGGTAATCAAATAAAATGAGCTAAAGTAAAGTTTGAGGACAGGATGGAGCAAAAGCATCCGAGTAGTTAAAGTCGATAACAGAAAATGTATGCTTGTGTTCCTTCTTAAAAATTAACTGCAACACAACTTTGCAAAACAAGGGGGAAAAATCATTTGTAAAGAACTTAAAAAAGAAAAGTGTGTCAGGTGTGCTGACAGTGGGCCCTGAGGATCAGGGTTGGGGAACACTGATAGACAACAACATCCAATAACCCCTCAGTAATTCTGCAAGGGTAAAGATCTGGTTCACAGTTCCATAACCTGGATGAAAGCTTTTTGCAATGCCAACCCTGGGATTTGAGTCCACTTTCCATCTAGCAACGTATTTTCACTAATTTTAGATAGTCGTTACTCTGCTGTCTGTGGTATGTTTCATGATATCTGTCTAAATTTAAGGTTTGGGTTGTGACTGATTCATACCTAAATAATTATTTTTCTTTCTGGTAGCACTTATTGGCCACTAATTGGGACTGGTTGTCTTGAAAACCCTAAAGTACTAATAACAAGTGCCAGTGGAGATATGGAAAAAGGTATTTCTGATGGTAATATCAATTGCTACGATTGCAAAAATTTGATTTTCTACTAGTTCAAAAGAAATAGTAACAAAGTTTCAACTTTCTCCATTTTGCATCGTACCATTAAAATGTTCGAGAGATGTTCTTTTGTGTCACTCCTTTGTGACCGATCGGATTATAATCAACAGCAGCTTCACAAGTTTGGGGCAGGTCATTCATAAGCAAAAATTAAAAGACTACAGCTCTAACATGGAACCATGTGGAACACGTATTTTCCAGTTCTGAAGGTCTGACATTGTTCCTGTAACAATGGCGCACTGTTACACATATTCAAATGAGAACTGAACCAAATAAATGCTTACTACTGATATGAGCAATGTCCAGGCCCATCTTACTTGAAAATTCCCAAGATATTTAGATTTCTTTACCATGTTTTGTGAAAGCTTCCCATCCTCAAAGTGTCGCTCCACATAGTCTGTTGACAGGAGATTGCTGAAAAGAAACGGTGAGCAAATACAGTAACTAAAACCATTTATTTTCATTTTGTTAGAAAATGAAACATTTTACCACAATGTTACTGTTGAAGCACGTTGCTTTAATTATTGAGTTGTACTTAATGATGTAATGTTGACTAACATGGAAGACTATGACTTACAGTAGTCTAGCAAACAAGTAACTGACTCATAAAATGAAGAACACATTGCATAAAGAGGTAATTATCTTAAGTGGTTAGAAAAGTTGTAACAAGCAAAAGAAACATGCTCTTGGGAGAAAAATGTGAAGTTGTATTGTCTGCAGTTTGACCAAATAATGGCAAAACAAGGGATATACAGGGGGGTGGGCGAGCAAGAAGCAGAAGAAAACCATGAAAATTCTCCTTGATTAGTCAGGATGTCTGAATCTGCCATGGGCAAGTTTTTACTCACTGGTTAAGTTCCAGGTCAAGGATGAAAGAAGAGCCAAAGGCCTCAACCAAGAAGCTGCTCTGAGCCACATGGATGGGCTGGAAGGAGGAGGAGGAGGAGATGTGGATATAAGGTATAAAAATTGTAAGGAAGAAGGAAAAAAACTAAATTGCATTTGGACGTTACAACAAGAACAGCACAAAAACAAACTGAGACTTTAAAACAGACATATAAACACAATGATTTCATAGCTTTTAAACAAACATTCAGATTAAACTCACATTAATTTTTAAAGTTGCAATTTGTGGATGTTACATTTTCACTTTCTTTTCTATATTTCTTAGCAATTGTCATGAAAAATAAAATGTATCAGACATAGAAAACTGCCAGTAAAACAAAGATGAGAAAATAAGTCTATGAACTTAGAATTTTGTCAAAATATTAGAATAAAATGTTAAGCTTAATATTAAACTTAAGTGAAATAAATTATTAAAAGAAATGTCAGACTATAAAAACCAAATATCCTTTTTGTTTTTGACTGAAAACACTGAGAAAAACATCAAATATACATTATCTTCACAAATAAATCCACTTCGCGGATATAAGTGGCCGAAATGAGTTTTCTCCGCAGGATGGCTGGGCTCTCCCTTACAGATAGGGTGAGAAGCTCAGTCATGCGGGAGGGGCTTGGAGTAGACCCGCTGCTCCTCCACATCAAGAGGAGCCAGTTGATGTGGCTCAGGCATCTGGTCAGAATGCCTCCTGGATGCCTCCCTGGTGAGGTTTTCAGAGCACGTCCAACTGGGAGGAGACCCAAGGAAAGACCCAGGACACGCTGGAGGGACTATGTCTCTCGGCTGGCCAGAGAACGCCTTGGGATTCCCCTGGAAGAGCTGGCCCAAATAGCTGGGGAGAGGGAAGTCTGGGCGTCCCGGCTTAGGCTGCTGCCCCAGCGACCTGACTCCGGATAAGCGGTTGAAAATGGATGGATGGATAAATCCACTTATTACATTTTGTCCATGGGGTAGTGTTTTCCTCTGGTTTCCCAATCCTAATCCTCAGAATTCACAGACCGCACCTTTTTAATCTTTCCCTGTTCCAAGTCACTCGATTGAAATTAAAGGTTTGTTAAGAGAACTCAGCAGAAACTCATGACAAGTAGTTACGGCAATCAGATCTGTTGGGACAGGAAAACATCTAAAACATGACAGGACCAGAAGACAGAAGGGAATGACTCAGACCACTTCTTGCTGCTGGGCCATTTGAACGAGGAGTTACTCTATTCATGCAAGTAACAAGTAACTCAAAGATGATGGACATGGATGGCACTGAAAACACATGTTTTATTCCCTCTTACATAAAAGGAAAAGCTCCACTTTGAGTCGGTGACTCAGTGTGAAGAAAGAAGACTGAGTCTGAACACAGACTCAAACTAATGACTCATCAGTTTGTCAAGCTGTTCACACTTTCACCAAACCAGGAATGAGGCTGTGAAAAAAAGTGACAGGAGTGTGTGATGACAGAGCGGAGGAGTGAAAAAGCTTGTGTTTAATGTCAGAATTCTCTGATGATAAAAGATGTCCTCCTCCAGGAAGGAGTCACTGGAGGAAAGAGGCTTCCGGGTTGAGATCTAATTTTGACCTGTCTCATCTCTGTCCTAGGTGAGCCCTGTCCACAACACAAGCCAGAGACTGTGTGAAGATTTCCAAATATATGAATCAGCATCTAAATCAACTTCTCCAGTTTCATCAGAGAGGCTGTGTGACATGATGCTGACCTCTGAAGGTGGCCCGGGGTCAAACAGGAGTCACTGACCTGTCAGCAAGCTGCAGGCTTACAGTAGTCAAGGTAACAAGAGACCACAGGTAGAGGTGTGAAATCTAATCTAATGGGGCAGAAAAGAGTGATGGGGTAGACAAAGCAAAAGAGAGCAGTTTTTTTATCCCATGCAGTGACCAAAGTCCAGCAGAAAAATGTCCTCAGCGATCAGAGTTGGTCGTTGACATGCACTGACACATAAATGCTACCTACTTGTGCAGCATTCTGAAAAAAAAAAAAAAAAAAAAAAAAAAAGTATTGTTTTATTGTGTAATTTCATGGAAATTATTTGTTGATGTTAAAAACTGTAACCCTCTTCAAACCAGCAAAATGCCGGTTGTTTAGGTGGTTGCAGACAGTCCTGACTCACCTGCTGCGTGCCAGCAGGGAGGTTCCTGGCCCGGGTGTCCAGGTGGGTGTGCAGCACCTCCTCCTCTGAGTGGATCTGTCGCAGGAGGCGCCTGGGCTGAACGGTCTCCTCCGCAGTGGGCAATCCGCCTTCCAGCCTCACCCATTCCCTCAGACCTGCAGAGGACGGGAGGAAATGTCTCAGAGCAACTAGTACAGGTGACGTTTGTGTGGATTCATTCCTGCGGGTCGTTGTTGCCGCTCAGTGTTGGTCATTAAAAATCTTTTTTGTGTAGGCAGAAAGCGCGGGAGCCTCTCACCTGTCTCGGCGCACCTTGCACACACTGCAGCGAACAGCAGGCATCGCACAGCGAGCATGATGCTCACATAGTCCCAGTGATTTCCTCGCGCCGTGAGATGAACTGACAGGAGCCGTGAGCGGAACCGGACTGACGCTGTCAGCGACGACAACTCGGCTCAGTCAGACGCGACGCCGTCATTTCTCGCCCCATGTGCTCCGTGTGAGAGTTAAAACACTCAGAATGAGTCCCTGCTCTGGACTAAGGCAGCAGCCAGCACCTCTCCTGTCTGGCGGCTAGCTGCTTCAAAGGAGAGGGGCGGCGCGCGAGGACCAGCGAGGCTGAAAACAAGGAGCACGTGGGGCTTCACGAGCCCGCCCCTCTGAGACGAGTCCCAAACTCCAGATGTACTCCAGATTTGGCACAACACCTAATAAACCTCAGTTTAAACTGTGAAAATAGTTTCCCCCTCAACGTGGGTGTGTTTGGACCATTCAACGCTCTGAAAACATTCAAATACCTATTTTTAACTCCTCCAGATTAAAAGCACTGTACCGCTGTTGTAGCTTTGTGACTTAATACTTTACACATGGTGAATGAAAAGGATTACAGCGCTCCCTTTTCCCTGATAAAGTTCAGTTGTTTGCTGCTTTGCTCTGTCAAATAAAGTCTACAACTTTGAATATTTTTGTGTTAGTCTGCTTTGAAACTGCAATTTTGGTCAAATAACGCTTGAGGCTCATGAAGTAAAATTTTAGACCTGACTTAAGACTGAGCAGCAAGCCCGTCATTCAGCCCAGGTTTCACCATCAACCACCAGGCCCTGGATGGAGCCACCAGCCAGGCCAACCACTGGGCCCAGCCATTATGGCTGCAGAGTCTACCAGCAGGTCAGGGACCAGAATTCAAACCCTCTCACCAGTCTCCACCACCAACCACATGGTTGGCAAAGGGCTACCTCCTGTTGTTAGTGCTGCCACTTACATATTAGCATTCCCCCACCCCCAGTCCTTGGCATGTACCACCAACTTTATTAGGATCTACAGCCATGGTCTCCACTTTAATAATCTGCAAACTGGTCACACCTTCAGCTGGGTGAGAATGTCTGCAGAAACCCTATCAACACCCACATCTGCTGTGATGTCCCCAGTACCTGTCTCATCATTGTGATATGGAGTCATGCTGTTGCTGGGTTAATCCAGAGGACTAATCCATGTCACAAGAGCAAGCCATGAACCAACTTGACCTTCTAAATGATAGATGACATGCACTTGTATAGTGCCTTTCTGAGTCAAGAGGACTCCAAAGTGCTTCACACTACTGTAGCAAGGTGGAGAAACGAGGGCCCCGGCGGGATTTGATCCCTAGGCTTCCAGGTGAGAGTCATGCGCCCTAACCAGTCAGCCAAAGGGACATCCCCGTGGCCAAGTAGCTAGGGCGCATGATCAATCGGGTCACAGTGATAGGACGCTCACACTGTCACACTACCTTCACCCACTTGCACACTGATGGTGATGAGCTGTATCGTAGCCACAGCTGCCCTGGGGCAGACAGACAAGAGGCAGAGCTGCCGTTCACAGGTCACTCTGACCACCACCAGCAGGCAAGGAGGGTTACGTGTCTTGCCAAAGGACACTGACAGAGCCTGAGTTTTAACCAGCAACCCTCCAGCTACAGGGTGAACCCACATTCATACTGAGAATCTGTTAAAAGGTTACTTTTTTACAAACAAATCTTGTTTTTCTTCCAAAGCCAGACAACACCTTGTTGCCACCATCTCCCAACCCATAGTGCCACTATACACGAGTGCTTCTGGCAGCTGTCTGCTTAAAGCATTGGTGATTAGATTAGCAGTTGTCCTAAACGTCACCGAGACTATGGGTCTCAATGAGACTAACACATAAATAAAAGTCAATGAGACTTGACTTGAGACTCCACCTGTTAAATACCTCATACAATGTGACTTTTACCTGATTTGGGAAGAAAACAAACTTTCATTACACTTTCTCCATTCGTTCAAGTAATTCTGACTAAATATGGGCCCTAACCCTAAAAACTGAGTAAACATGTCCAGTGTTGTTTATGCCAACAGGACACATGGAGCTGCTGCTGCCGTTCATTCACCCTTCCCTTTTCATGTAGCTTCTACAAGCAGAGTCAGCATTTATTAACTTTATAGAGAAACATCTTCACTGCAAAAGGTAAAAAGTTATGACTAAAAACATTTATTTAAAAAAATACGGTACAAGTTTTGACATCTTGATTCCTTTAGAGAACTAAAATCTTTCCACACATTTAATAAATGGCATTTGCATTGTTTTCTGCATCAGGGTCGGCAGCTAGGGGAGATCATTTTAAACAGTTGAAATAATCTGCTGAAGACTGGCAAGTACAGGTTAAAAAAAAACAAACATGGGACTAGTCTGTCCTTCACAAAGCCCGTCCTTTGGCACACCTTCAAAAGGCAGGACGAGCCACGTGACATTACTCAGACAGTTTGTGTCATAAGCTGTCAGTCCTCCCCTCTATGTACGCCTGGCCTGTTGGACCATCAACAACATCTTACGTGGGATCCGATCCAGGTGCAGCACTTAGAGTAATTGAGTAATGCCCCCACTTTTCAGAAAGTCGTCATTAAACTCTCAGTACCACCACGTGTTTCCGGACAGAGCGGCTGAATTACCACGGTCAGCAAAAGGTACTGTACATTTGCTAGTGAGGATATGGATCTACGGCTAACATTGACAATCATAGAAAAATAAAACATCCACATAGAAAAATAAAATAGCATCTCTATCAACAGCCAATATACAACAGTAGGTCAAATAAATATTGAGTCAATACAATTAGATGAAGGGCTTCCCAGGTTCTTTCACATCCTAAAAACACCACCGTTGCTGAACCTCAGCAATCGGTACCACGGTTCTGGAAAAGGAGGACGACTCAGCGTCTTGCCCACACAACGATGCAGCTGGGGCTGGCGGCTGAAGAACAGTGTGCAGATGTGACTCATAGCTGGTGTCGTGCATCCAGGGGCAGGACCTGTGGAGCAGCCCTCTGTCGAGCTCACAGTTCTGCTCGTCAGGCGTCAGAGGCGTGGCTGAGGTTGGACTCAGGTATGACAGGAAGTTGCAGTCCCAGTCAGAGTCTGACAATGCTGAAGAGTGTGTGGTCAGGTCTGGGATGAGCGCTGGCTCGATGTGCACAGAGGCAGAGTGGGAACACGGAGGGTCTTGACTGGTTTTTGCACTCTGAGGTTTGGAAGGAAAAGAAAATGTGGCGCAAGATGGTTTTAATTCAGGCACATCCAAAAAGTGTGACGTAGAGATGGAGTTAGGACTAGACTGCACCATCTGATCAGAAGCATCATATAATGACACATCCTCTACATTTGATGCATTTTCCTTTGGTGGTTTTGAAGCATTGGGGCTTTGTTCACCCCAGCTGCCACTTCCCCCAAGCGTCCTCCTCCTCTTTTTAAGGTTTCTGTGTTCAGGGCTTTCTGGTCGACAATTCTTTTTGGTGTTTGATCCTTCAGCTGACAGCCAAGAAAGTGAATAAGCTCCATGTGAGGACCGAGGAGCACGATCTAAACCTCTGTGAGAACACACATCTCCAGTGTGTTCATCAGGAACCTCTGGAGTTGGCTCCCTCTTTCCTTCCTCACTGGTCCCATAGATTTGGAGTAGAGTGGAGAGGGGAACAGATGAGTCTGCAGGGTTCATTTCACAAATCTGTCCTTCAAAAGTCTCCTCTGTTGTGTACGTCTGAAGACTGAGAATAGGGGGGTCTGGGTAAGGACTCTGTGGATCCAGGATGTGAACAAAATAGGGGACTTGTGGACTGAGAATTGGAGGCAGGGAGTAAGGATCAGAGAGGAGACATGGAGCATCAGGTAGATGTTCGAAGGTCTCAATAGTCAGAACGGGCATGGGTGGGCTCGAAGGGCAAGGCTGGAGCTGAGCGGACGGGTGGTTTGCATCGGGATCAGAAGACTGATGATCAGCTGGTGGAGTGGCTGGATTTGGGGTATTAAAATTAACTTCTAGCGTAGGGCTGGCCGGGCTGGAGGAAAGATGACTTTGGGGATGGTTGGAAATGTGAGAAATGAAGGATGAATCTTCTTTTAGCAGGGACTGAACATGTTTCACTTCAACATTAGTCCCGGGCTCCAGTTCACAAACATCGTGGAAAGGCATACGAGTTGGCGTTCTGGAGAAGAGAAAATAAAAGTAAAAAAAAAAAAAAAAAAAACCAGATTCTACAATAATAGGAGTCTATAACGCTGAGCTAATAATGGTACCATTCAAAGCTCACCTTTCTCCTGACGGTTGAGTTGGGTCAGGGTCAAATTCTGGAAGCATTACAGCTACAAGCTGATCCACATCTCTGTAGTTGGAGGGTTCTAGCCCAAACGAGCGATGCTGGTCTGACTTTAAATGCTGCAAAAACAAAGATGAAATTACTAATCAGAACATTTCACAATAAACAATAAAGTATTAAATGATTCCCACCTCCTCTATATTAGAGAAGACCTGTTGACAGCATTCACAGTATGACGAGTTCTTTTTACGCGGCCGCCATGGTGAAGGGTTGCAGCTGAGCAGAGCTGGAGAACTGTCCTGAACACTGCCCTCAGTTTTCTTTTCCCTAATCACAAATATAATGTTAATATGAAATGCTTATTAGAAGAATAAACAAGATTCCCACAATAGTCTACATCAAACAAACCTTTTCTTAGCGCCTACTTGATCCATCTGTTTTCCGAAGCGAGGAGGAGGAGGAGACTCGAAGGGGCTGAAACGACCCGAGTAGTGCAGAGCAGGAAAGGTCATAGACTGCATATGGAGAGGCTTGTACTTCCTGGTTTGGTAGTGAAAACAAGACACACGAGATGCAGTTTGAATTAAAAAATATATTCTAACAATGAAAAGACCAAAACTGCAGTGCTGTGAAAATCTACTCAGGTTCTTTGTCTAATACTGAAAAACAAAGGAACACACCCAAACTGAGTGGTTTGTTTTTAATCATCACACAGATGAGCTGAATCATCTTTGAACATCTGTCATCACAGAGGAAAAGTCAAAGCAAGGCATGGCGGCTTTATTTATCTAGCACATTTCATACACAGAGGCTATTCAATGTGCTTTCCTTTAGCATGAACATTAAAATCAACGTGACAGAAAATACAATTTAAAAATGAAAAAGAGACAAAGTTAAAGGGTGAGCAGTTACAGTGCAGAAGGTGCAGCATAAGAACATTTATTTAAAGACTGATGATAACATGAAGGTTTTTAATTTTGATTTTAATGTTTCTAGAGTTGGGGCACATTTGAGGTTGTGAGGAAGCTGATCCCATCTGTGTGCAGCATAGTAGCTAAAAGCAGCTTCACCCTGTTTGGTTCTGACCCGAGGTTCTACCAGCTGACCGCTTCCTAAGGATCTCAGAGCCCTGCTGGGTGTATATACCTGAAGGAGATCTGGCGTGTATTCTGGCCCCATGCCACTGAGTGATTTATAAGTAGAAGTACTTTGAAGTTAATTCTGTAGTTTATTGGTAACCGGTGTAGAAATTTAAGAACAGGAGTGATGTGCTCTGTTCTCTTGGTTCTTGTTAAGACTCTAGCAGCAGCCTTCTGAACAAGCTGCAGTTGCTCCACAGTTTTTTTGAGAAGAGCAGTTAAGAGACCATTGCAATAGTCCAGCCTGCTGGAGATGAACACATGAATAAGTTTCTCTAGGTCTGGTCTGAACATGAGACCTCTGAGTCGTGCCATCTGATGCTCCGGTCATCACAGGATCGTCGGCTAGCGGTGCCTACACCACGCTCAGGACAACCCACTCTTCTCATGTATCGTTCCACAAATGTGGAATGACCTTCCAAGCACTACCAGAACAGGAGCTTCCTTTTCAATTTTCAAGAAACTCCTGAAGACCCTGCTCTTCAGAGCGCATCTTCTAAACTAGCACCCTCCCTGCACCCGTCCCCCCTCTCTACTGTCCACTCCTTGTTCCCTCCTCTCCATGACTGATGTCAATGTTGTTGTTGTTAGCCTCAGGGACAACATGCCGACTATCACTTGTAAGTTGCTTTGGACAAAAGCGTCTGCTAAATACACAAACATAAACATAGATGATGAAATGCTGATCTTGTTATAGGATTAATGTGACCAGTGAAGCTCAGGTCTGAATAAAACCAAGATTTCTAACCTGAGTCGTTGTCTTTATTCCTCTGGAGCCAAGCTGAGCAACAACCTCCATCCTAACCTCCTTATTTCCAAAGACAATAACTTCAGTCTCGTCTTTGCTTAATTGGAGGAAGCTTGACTGCATCCAGTCCTTAACTTGCTCCAGCAAGAAGCTTTTAGGAGAGAACCTCTTCTACCCCAGCTGGGCCTGCAGATGTTGAGGATCCCCTCTCACCGTGGAGACATTGTACAATTCAATCACTCAAATGAGGAGTCAAATAAAGAGATGTGTTCACACGCAGGGGTCCCCTGCAGGAACAGGCAGTGGAGCTTTGCACAGCCTCATCTAAAAGAAATCAAAAACGCCGAAGCTTTGAGCTCCTGGGGACTGCTCGTCACATTACACGATAGGACTTCTTAACGGGTTCAATTAGGAAAATCATCCAGACTGAAATGAACACCTCTACAACAACAAGTCACATCACCGCCACCTATTACTGCCTTGATATCAATATACCTGACTTGCATCAGACAATATAATCTGATACAGGAGATAAGCTATCCGAGCCTGTGCACTTTAAAAACAACAGTCCCCTGAGCTGACAAAATCCTTTACTCACCAGATTCAACAATGGAAGACTGAACACTGGAGCACCGGGTGTTTTGACTTGGTTCCAAGTTTCCAAAGATTTGGAAGGTTAAAGGGATATTCTGCCCCAAAGTGAAAATTTGTCTGTTGCTGAATTCTCCAGAGTTAAGTGGAAAAAAAAAACATTCATTCTCCTAATCTGGCAGAATTCTGTTAGCTTTTGAATTTGAATGATTGAAATGCTAGCTGTTACCATTCACTTGCATTGTTTATGCTAAGCTAAAGTTACAAAATGCTTTCCTCTCCCTTCTCTAACTCTGGGGAATATGGCAAGACTAAATTTCACTTAGGGGTGGAAAATCCCTTTGAAACAAACACTATGTCTCATTGAGGGGGACTCATGAGAGGAAAATAAATCAACTCACCTGCTAGCATCTTCAATTTTAAGATAAGGACATCTCAAAGCTGCAGCTGTGACCAGGACACCAAAGGACAACGAGACAAATTATTCCACACAAAATAAACACATATCAGCATCGTAAGGTGATTAAAACTAACCTTTGACAGCAGGAGCACTTTGTTTGCTGGATGTTTTCTGCATAAATGATGCAAATACAAGAAATGAATCATCAGACAGATTTTCAAAGACATTTTCACAGATCTTGTTGTAGTTCGTTACACTACAGCTGAGACACTATCAGCATATTTTACAATAAAATGAAGTAATCCTCCAGTCACCGAAGGATCGTTGGCTAGCAGTGTCTACAGCTCGCTCAGGACAATCCACTCATTTCATGGTCTAAGGAGCTTTGAAAGAAAAGCGTCTGGACTTCTTTGAGTTGCTTGAAGACGTTTCACCTCTCACCCGAGAGGCTTCTTCAGTTCTACGGTCAAATGGTGGAGAGTCCCAGATTCAAACCCAGTGGGAGTTCCCCCCCGAAGAGGGAACAAAAGACCCCCTGATGATCTTCTACATAAACACACGAGCCAAGGTGTGAGGGTGGGTGTGGGTCCTATTCAGCCAGAGTTTCGGGTGAGCTCATTGTGAAGCCTGGCCCCACCCTATCATGTGAATTCCTGAGGTCAGATGGCCCAGGATATGCGTGGGCATTGAGGCATCTGGGAAGGGATCTCAAAACTGGATTATAGATGGCAGACAGTTGGTGTCGTAAACCACTGCCTCTGTTCAAAGATGGTTGCTCACAGTGGGCATAAATGGCTTCCTTTACTCCTCTTTCAAACCATCTGTCCTCTCTGTCCAAAATGTGAACGTTGGCATCCTCGAAAGAGTGACCTTTGTCCTTTAGATGCAAATGAACTGCTGAGTCCTGTCCCGTGGAGGTGGCTCTTCTATGTTGTGCCATGCGCTTGTGAAGTGGCTGTTTGGTTTCTCCGATGTAGAGGTCTGGGCATTCCTCGCTGCACTGTACAGCATACACCACATTGTTCAGTTTGTGTTTAGGAGTTTTGTCTTTCGGGTGAACCAGTTTCTGTCCGAGTGTGTTGCTGGGTCTGAAGTACACTGGTATGTTGTGTTTGGAGAAAACCCTCCTGAGTTTCTCTGATACACAGGCTACATAGGGGATGACAAGGTTGTTGCGTCTGTCTTTCTTTTCCTCCCTCACTGGTGTCTGGTCTTCTTTTCTGTGCATCTTTGCTGACTTTATAAACGCCCAATTAGGATAGCCACATGTTTTAAGTGATTCCTTTATATGTGTGTGTTCCTTCTTTTTCCCTTCCGGCTTAGAGGGAACATGTTCTGCCCGGTGGTGTAGGGTCTTGATTACTCCAAGTTTGTGTTCCAGAGGGTGATGTGAGTCAAAGAGGAGGTACTGGTCCGTGTGTGTGGGCTTCCGGTACACCTCAATATTGAGGTTGCCATTTTCTTCAAAGTGCACAGCGCACTCATTTCATGTATCGTTCCACAGATGAGGAATGACTTACCAAGCATTACTAGAACAGGGGCTTCCTTGTCAATTTTCAAGAAACTCCTGAAGACCCTGCTCATCAGAGAGCATCTTCTAAACTTGCACCCTCCCAGCACCCGTCCCCCACTCTACTGCACACTCTATGTTTGCTTCCCTCTATGATTCATTATGCTGCCTCACTGCCACCTAGAATTGACTGAATAGTGTTTGTTGTTAGCCTCAAGGGCAACCTGCTGGCTTGATCACCTGTAAGTCACTTTGGACAAAAGCATCTACTAAGTACATAAACGTAAAAATGGTTGTTCAATCATCTCAGTCTGAATTTCCAATTTTGAAAATTAGTTAAAAAATGCAAATGATGAAGAGAGTATCTCTTACCTCGGCCCTCTTGTGTTTAACACCAAAACATTCTCGACTCAAGTGCTTCAGATATAAAAGAACATCTGACATTAAATTAAGGATATTTACAATTTTAAAACTATTAATTCTCTTTAAAAAACCTTCTTGATCCTCTGGAAAAAATAAAATTTTCTATACTCTGGAAATCTAATTACAGCTTCCTTTTGTGTATCTTATATGGATAAAGTAACCATTCCGGCTTAAGTCTAGTTTTTTGACAGGAAAAAAAAAATTCCTCAAGAATGTTTACTGCTCAGAAAAGAAGCACATGGTGCCATCTACTGTTAGGAAAAGTGAACTGTATGTTTCATGTTCTGCGATTCAGCAAATCACCACTCCACTTCGGTCAAAAGGATACCATCCACATTCAGTATCTTCACTCCCCACGATCGAGCATTGATCAACGCATTCCTCTGAAGACGCTCCTACAAAGACGGGTCCAGCAGAAGCAAGCACCAGTTAAAAGTCTTGCATTAATACTCTGAGAGAACAGATACAAGTGGATTTTGGATGCTCTAACTTACATTGTTGCAAATGGCTTTTTGAAGAAGAGCCTTCCCTCGACTGCCACAGGCCTGTAGAGACAAACAGGAGGTTAAAAAAATTCTAACCAGTTTAATTATTTTAAAAGCATGTTAGCACCTAGTTACCATTGGTCTAGGAGTTTCGGGTCGTCCTTTTTCATTGCCGAGCCTACCCTCCTGCTTCTTTAAAGGATATGGGGTTCCTCCACCCGTCTCCTTTGCCTCGCCTTTGGTGACCACACTCTTTGCCTCCTTGAGAATCTCTTGGCTTCCAGTTACAAAAAAGTCTACATCCTTGTGCAGGAAACTCTCTATTTTCTTCAGAAAGACAAGTACATTATGTTATTTTCTGTTGAGAGATTTCATTAATATTAAGAGAAAGGGTCTTTTTTTATTTACAATCTAACTTTAAACTAAGCATTGGCATGAATTAAATGAACAGTTTTGTCTCTGATGTTACCCACTGACTTATGTTCATTATTTGCTCCTGAACTCACTAGATACACCCTTTCACATACAGAAAACACCTTGACAAAAGACCTTGCATATAAAAACAAGAACATCTGTTGCATTTACTCCCAGCTGACTGCCTTATAATACCTTCTATAAAACTGCTTAAACCTGCTTACCCCTCCTAGAAGAGATATGGCCTCTAAAATCAGCATTGTTGAGCGTGCCTTCACATTGTCCAGGTAGAACGTCTTCCCTTGTAGTTTCTTGTCTCCGGCACAAAGCCTGCCAAGAAGACCTCGCTCCTTTGAATTGTGCAGCGAATGCATGGCTCCACCTTTGTAGAGGAGCTTGTAGCACTACAGCAAAACACCAAGAATCTAGAAAAAAATGTGAGCGTTATGAGTTTCAACACTGGAAGGTAAAACTAACACTGCATAATGACAAATAACATCCAAACATGATGGTGGTAGTGTAATTGTCTGGGCTGCTTAATGACTTGAATGACTTGCACAAACTGATGGAACCATGACTTCTGCTCTCCATCAGATAATCCTGAAGGAGAAAGTCTGACCTTTGACCTTTAATATGCAATTCATGCTAGAAAACTGAAATATTTATCAATTCTGTAGAGAAATGTGGGACATAATTCCTCCACAGTGATGTGACAGACTTGTCACAAACTGCAGTTGTTGCAATAATGCAACAAATCAATTACTGGGGTCAATTACTTTTCCATTTAGGGCCAGGTTAATTTGGAAATTTGAATCTACACGGGTTATTTATGTCACATTGCTGATCTGACATATTTAATAGAAACATAGCAAAAACAAAGCAAGCAAACCAGAATGAATCTGTATGAGCACAAAAGAATATGGACAGGAATAAACTGTCCACATCTTTAAAAATACACAGGAGCGATATATTTATCTTGCTGACAGTTTCGACCACTCCTGCGGTCTTCATGAGGAGTGGTCGAAACTGTCAGCAAGGTAAATAAACCTTTCCTGTGTTAAAAAAATCACAGAAGGAATATGCAGATTGTGGAAAGATGCCACGTTTAAAACCAAGCTTCCAAACTTTGCGCATACTGTGTAGTCTGTGATTTCAAATAAATTCAACACATAACAAAGAAGCATTTCTTTATCTCTTTTACTCAATTTAACAAATGCGTGTTTAAGGTTGATTTTGTAATTATATTATTTATTTGTTTACATTAGCCTGTCCAAACTGTGTCCTCAGTACTAGTTGAAGTCACCAGTTTTCTAACTTGGGTTTTCAAAAGACAATAATTCATATCAGTGGCGTTACTAGAAATGCAGAGCTTATTTACTATGAACTGTTATTCTACCACAGTTCAATTGTGCATTTAAAGCGTGAACATGTGTCTCGCGAGCGAGCTAGCTGAACTAGCTAGTTAGCTTTCCTGGTAAACTGATTTCTTGAACCAAAGAAAACGGTCAGAACGTTCGTTACGTTATTCCTCTTGAAGCAACAAAACGTAAATGTTTACTTACGTTTCAGTGTTGAATTGTAAATCTTTGTCTCCTCACGAGACTTCAGTATGTTGCAGAAACTCAAACCGCCGCTTTTTCAAAAGCACTTGCTACGTAACATCCGGGATCCGGCTGCCTTCAGATGACTTACGTAAATTGGAACGACACAGAACGTCTCTCATTTTAATGTTGCATAAATATTAACAAACAAATAAAGGTAAGACGCTTAATTGAGACAACAACATTTTTAGTATTTGGTGTGCATTGCTCCACTAGTCAGTATATTTTTGAGCAGGGACGAAATTTTGATTTCAGAAGTGGGGGGGGGGACACAGCAGGCTTGTGCGGATTTGGGGTGGGGGGTTTTATGTAAAGACCCCTTGACACGTCACGTGCCCATCTCAATAATTTTTCCATCCTTATTGAAGTGCAGTTTTGGCTGTTGACAATGGATAGGCCATTGTATTTATTGTTTTGGGTCTTTTTTTATTGTTTTTGGTGCAACATTTTCTAACAGGGAGTGAGATTCCTTTTTTATTTAATTTTTGTTTGTTATTTTTATTCATTTAGAAGTTCTGGTTCTGGACATTTCAATGTTAAATGAAGGTTTCTTTGTTGCTTTTTAAAGGGTGTACTTGCATTATTATGATATATTAACATTATATTAGTGGTTATTTTGGTCTAGATAATGTTGACAATATCGTTTATCATCAACAATTTGTTGGACAAAATATCGTCCAGCAAAATGTGTTACTTTCCCAGGCCTAGTCAAAAGTTATTTATACATAAACGGTCCCTCCTGAGATCTGGCCGTTTGTTCATTTGCTGTGTTAGAGGACATGCTGAACTAATGTTTTACACATGATCATCACCCTAACATTTGAGTGTATAAAAACATATTAAATATGTTTTTCCCCTTAAAAGTGTTTAAACAGTTGTTGCATTTCAACACACAAAAAAAATGGAAAAAATAAGATAAATCTAATGAAAAGTGTACATCTTTGACATTAAGCTTAAAAAAATCTGTTGACGATGATGATACTGTTCATTTTTCAGAGCTTTTTAATGTGAAAATATACATTGCAATAGATAAGTTTACAATAAAGTTAAATGATAAAAGTTTTGAAGTTACACTTCTACTACTACTACTACTAGTCATAATAATTATGATGATAATAGTAATAATAAAAATAATAATAATTATAATAATACGAATAAATTGTGTCTGAGGAGTCAGTTATGTGGAGGAGATGAGTTTGTAAAAGTTAGTTTTGAGTATGTTTGTAGAGGAGGAGGTGAGTCTGAGCTTAATGCAGGTCTGTCACATGTTCCAACTTACGTTTTGACTTTGAAAGAAGTCTCTTATATCCACTTTTCGTTTTCTTGACATGCTGCCTCCTGGCTGTGCCTAACTACCAAAGACTCACAAATGAACACTTATTCAAATGTTATGTAATGGAAGCTGAGCTGAGCTCTGATATTACACAGCGTCTAGTTGACGATGTGACTCAGTACCGGTGTTCCCTAGCGGCTCCAAACTAGCAAAACACATTCTGACTGTTTACAACTTGAGTGACAGCAGCAACAGCCAATAATACGTTAGCAAGTATCAGCAGAGCCAATAGATTAGCTTTTGGGCGGGTCTAATAGTAAACCGGTTTCCGTTTCGGTCCTAGTGCTCAACCAAATCCATTTAATGGAGCGTAACATTGTTTTTGGACGGAAAAAAGTGCAGGGGACCAAAACTGCCTTTTGAAAAAGTGGGGGGGACATGTCCCACCCGTCCCCCCCCCAAAATTACGTCCCAGTTTTTGAGTCATAATTCGAAAGTTTTTCATTTAGTAGCTGTTTTCAAACAATTTTTCGCATAATCGAAAATGCAGCACAGCGGAACTCACCAGTCAGTTCTTTATAAAAAACCTTTCCTGAGCTTATTTATAAACATTAATATGGCGTTACTCGACTATTTAAATTTACAACACGTGAACCACTATCTTAAGCTATCTCTTAAGTGAAAAAATAAAAATGACCTCATGCAAGTCATTGAAATATGCAATTGCTAATTCACTTACCCGCGTTAGTACTTTGTTTTTTATTACAATTTATACTTAATCTAAAACACAATGCAATTTAGAAATATGAAGGAGTATTGTCCACTGAAATTCTACAGCTTTTCCACGGCTAACAATACAATGTTATTCTGCTGCTTACCAGTAGAGGGCAACATGTTAAATGAAATAGACTGTTCTTTCTAAACGTTTTCAGTAGGAAATTATTGAAATCTACCAAATGAAATTGCATACTGTGCCACGAAAGACAAAAATAACAAAATGAATACAAACTTTTTATTCAAAATATGCAAAAGATTTCTCCTACAAAATTAAACACTGCAATCCACACAGCAATCTCAAAAGGCTTTTTAGTCTGAAAATCTGAGTTAGTGTAAATCTTTATCAGGCTAGACATAAAACAACCTTAATGTTTACTTGCACAATGAACAAGTCATTTAACCTTTGAAACTAAATAATGTTAACAATGGATATAAAACACAAAATACCACTGCCTGCTCAATACATGCTGGTGTTTACAGATGAATATGGCAAGGCATCAAAACAAAGAAATTCTTTCATATTAATTAAAAAAAACATCCCATCTCTTTACACTTTTTATCTATTTCCAACTATTTCTGACAAGAAAGGCACTTCAAGTAACAGAAAAAAATGCCCCTTCTAGCAAAAATACTTTCATATTTTCCTCTGTCCTCAGACAGAAGATATACAAAACTTAATTTCACCCTAAAACCATTGCAAACTATTAGTTAACTCAGGACCAGCTACTCAGTCAATATATCCCAATAACACCTTTCTCATGCCTTTTGCTATTGATGTTTGTTCTAAAGCTCTTCGGTAAATCCCATAAATAATGAAACTGAGAAGTAAAAGTTTGAAACACTATACTTTGAACAATACTTATAGATCTGAATGTTTTAGCATCTCCCTGAGGTTCCTCTATTTTAAGCGATTAAACACTGCTAACATGTAAAAAATGCATTTAAACTTAGCAGTAGAGCCACTTACTGTGATGTAACTACATAGAGATGACCTATTTATAATGTTTGGGAAATAATAAATCCACAGAAGTAAAACAAAATAAATCAAATGGCTCCTAAGATGTTTGCTAACCACTTCCAGATAATTAAAAGCAATGTAACCTGGATGTCTTCTTTGTGGTATAGAGCCACAGAAGTACATTTTCTACGCAGCCTTTGCAGAAGGAACAACCTGTGTTTCAGATCCACTCAGAACCATTTGTGACTCCATACTTGCTGCTACAGCTGGTGCTTCTGCTGCCCTTGTCTATGTCAGCCTTGCTGGGGGCATGTCTGGAGGCATGGCGGTGTTTACGTTCACGGTTAGGCTTGCTGTGATTATTACTGTGGCTCTGCAGCTGGCTATAGGCCTGATTATCTGCCTTCAGCGTGTTCTGAGACTGACCAATGTCCTTATGAGCACTTCTGGGGCCATCCCCCCTCCCACCATCGCACAGGTTTTCATCATTATTGGCGTACCGCTGACGTTCCTCTTGGGCAAAGTTCACGTGGTTCTGTTGGCACGTGATCTTGGCACTAGTGAGATCAGTGATGGGTAGAGGTGGGTTGTGGTTCCCTTTAGACACTAAAAGGGGCTTGGCAGCGATGTTGTAACCAGGTGGGGCAGATGATGGGTTCCAGGTAAAAGGGTAGCTGATGTAACCGTCACCACTCTGTCCTGTCTCCTTAGTAGCTTTGTTTCTTTCTGTGAGTCCACACAGGTCATCATCAGGGCGCTTGACCCGGCGGACGCGTATGATCTCACAGATGGTAGCTATGCCCAGATGAAGCATCTCCCATATATTGAGTGCCAGACAGAGCAGGGAGACTGTGTACATGATGAGGAGAAAGATTGTTTTCTCCGTGGGCCGTGACACGAAGCAGTCAACTTTGTTTGGGCAGGGCAGATCTGAGCAGATGTACTTGGCAGGAACAGCAAATCCATACAGCATGTACTGGCCACATAAAAAAGCCACCTCCAGCACAGAACGGGCCAACAGCTGCAGGACATAAATGCGCATGAGTCCATCTGCTCTGATACGCTGACGGCCATCATGTCGAATCTTGACTTTCACTTGTCTCTCACCGCTGCTATCTGGGGCTGCTCCACCATCACCGTCTTCCCTCTCTGCCTCCGTCACTTCATAGATCATTGGGTCTTCCTCGTTGTCATCCTCAGCCTCTTCAATGCCCCTGTGCTGCTTTCTTCCTGCATGATAAGACTTCTTTGGTTTCTTTTGTGAGTATCTGATCACTCCTCCACTCTCTGCCTGCTCCTCTGCCCGAGCGATTTTGTTCACAGCATAGCCCAGATACATAAGCGAAGGTGTCGCCACCAGAATAGTCTGGAAGACCCAGAAGCGGACGTGTGAGAGTGGCGCAAAGGCGTCGTAGCAGACGTTCTCACAGCCGGGCTGAGCAGAATTGCAGACAAACTTACTCTGCTCATCATAGTAGATTGATTCACCACCCACGGCCGTCAGAACGATGCGGAAAACCAGCAGGACAGAGAGCCAGATCTTGCCCACAAACGTGGAATGATTGTGAATTTCTTCTAGCAAGCGTGTCAGGAAGCTCCAGCTCATGGTGTTGGCTTGAAAACTACAGCAAGAGGCAGCACACACCTTCTGTTACTCCCCTGTGGAGAGAAACAACATTAAGCTTCTGAGCCAAAACAAAACTCACAGGTGAGTTCAACAAAACGTCTTTTTTCGCCACCACAGCTGCTAAATGATCAGTTATGTTAGTGAAGAAAACATGTGCATGGAGCTGTGGCACAAAAATAATGCCAAAGATAATATTAGTAAACAAAATTACAACTATTTAAAGTTAGGAATGGCTAAGAAATGTAAAGTTGCACACACTATAAAATACACTTTAGTTCAAATTCAGCAAACCACTCCTGGTGCCAAAGTCCTCCTCACAGAAGCCTAACATATTTTTCCCATTTAAAGCCAAAACATATCACACAAAGAAATGAATGAATGAGTTCCCCTCTTTTTACCAGATAGGGTAAAATCATTTATCAACACGCCTCCCTTCGTCTCTCGCACAGAGAATGATTAACAGTCCGTTTCTTTAGTAAGAATACAGATGTCATGCACTTATCTGTGTTCTTTAGCTTGTTCAAGCTCCACTGAGAGAGGTATGAAAAAGTTTCTCCCACACAAACTGAAATGTGGACTGTATTTAAAATTCAAACACAAGCCAAAAACCTCATATACAAGGTCAACAAATGGAGTAAGATAATAAAGGGTCCAACAGCTAATGCCTAAGAAAAACCCAGATTAAGCATGGGCACTACTGTTAAAATAACTGATTAATATTTAAAATGCTTTACAAAAAGGAGTCATCTCATCTCTACATTCCTGCCAAATGTACATTAACATCAAAGTCTTCCAACCCTTTATTCCTCACGAATAAAATCACAACATTACTTTATAGCAAAGCCAATCATTGATTGTCCATAACTGGTGCCGATGTCACGAGCTACTTTACTTTAAATTAATATAAATGTGAGTTTAACACACACACACACACACACACACACACACACACACACACACACACACACACACACACACACACACACACACACACACACACACACACACAGGCAGAGTGTGTGTTCTAACTGGTAAGTACCTCTATTTGACCTGAAGACACCCATCTGCGTAAGCCTAAATCTCACTTATCAAGCTAAAATGTGACTTTAAACAACTAATGAGTAAATAGAAAAATATATTTTAGGGCTGTCGTTGTATGACACCAATAACTCTACCGCACTGTTCATTTTTCAACTTGAGAGGAGTCTTTGGCCTCTGAACACATGGTTTTGTTCATGAAACAAAGCCCTCATCAACATCCTTGTAATAAAGATAACCACTAAATCAAAAGCTTTATTGTCCAAACCGATGCTCGTATTTATTTTCCATTATCTGATTCTTCAAACCCTTAAATTCTGCGTGTTTACAAAAGAAAATCAGCACATGTGCAGGACCTTATCCAGCTTTATTGAATAAATGCTAGTGATTGTTTGTAGTAAAGAGCATTTGGAGAAGGGAAGAGATTAAAAGCATCCATATCAGTGTTGATAATTAACATGCTTTCTTGGTTCTGTGAACAAAAAAAAGGTTTTCGTGGTCTCATTAAGATGCACATGCTTTTTAAAGCAGCACATCTGGCCATGTTGTGTAACGTACCATGTGAAAAAGCCAGTGGCACAGCTACTGTATTCACACCCAAACACCAAGCCTACTGATCACCAGAAAACTGAAAGATCCTTCTTTCTGTTATTTTTTACTTCATTCACAAAACAACACAAGCTAAATAAATGAATGAACGTGTTTTAGGAAAACATTTTGAAACACGCAAGTTTAACCCAAACTGTTCCTAAAATTCAAAAGAGTAATCTTGACTTAAAAGTAAATCATAACATTGTACTACTTACTGAACCTTGTGGCAACAGCTAGAGTGGGCCATGGCTAACACTGAAAGCCTGGGATTGTTGCTGTTTACCGTCTCCAGATTTCTCCCACCCAGAGACTACAAGCCTCCCGTTTCTTACAGAGCCTGTAAAATGTACCAGCTTTGTACAAGCCTATCTAAAAAGGCTTCAAGCTGTGAACATGGAGGTTTGTGGTTACCTTAAAAGCAGTAAAAGTGATGCTCCACCCTATCTCCCACTATGAAACACTGTTCAACTATTTACTCAAAAGGCAACTGTTAAAGTTTGTAGTTTGCTGACGCTGCTTTTTCAAGTAAATTGGTATTTTCACCTAATGAGACATTCACTACCCTGCCAAAAGCTAACAGTTGATAAAAAAAGAGAACTATACCATGTGCCCACTCCATTACTCGGGCTGTGCAGTTAGCATGTCAAACAGAATATCCCCTTCCCATGTCACATAGGAGCCGGAAACTCACTGGTAACAAGAACAAAGATGCTCCGAGCAGATTCTGAGCAATTATTAGGATAGAATAAAAAATGACAGTATCCAACAGACTACACCATATCAGCGACATGTCTTAAAAAAATGAAAAATATTTATGAAGTCACAGATGGGAAACTGAAAACTAAGCATATTTAGAGGACTCATTCACTCATTATTTTCAGTAGATTTGCTGTGGTCACTAGTAGGAATGAATGCTTTATGAGTCATATTCTGTAGAATCAGGTCTCTGCTTTTTGCAGATGATGTGGTCCTGTTAGCATTATCAGACAGTGATGTGGTCCAACCCTCATCTACGGTCACGATCGTTGGGTAGTGACCAAAAGAATGAGATTGTGGATACAAGTGGCCAAAATGAGTTTTCTCTGCAGGGTGGCTCGGCTCTCCCTTGGAGATAGAATGAAAAGCTTGGTCATCTGAGAGGGGCTTGGACTAGATCCACTGCTCTTCCTCAGCGAGAGGAGCCAGTTGAGGTGGCTCGGGCATCTGGTTATGATGCCTTCTGGACGCCTCCCTGGTGAGTTTTTCTGAGAACATCCAACCAGAAGGAGATTCAAGGGAAGACCCATGACATTCTGGAGGGACTATGTTACTCGAATGGCGAGGGAACACCTGGATTCCCCCGGAGGAGCTGGCCCAAGTGGATGGGGAGAGGGATGTCTGGGCCTCTCTGCTTTGGCTGATGTCCCCACAACCTGACCCCAGATAAGCAGCCGACAATGAATGGATGGATGGATATTGTCATAGCTCGACTTAGATTAGTAACCACACTGATTGGCTAAGAGAAACACATAGGCATCATTTTAACTGGAGACACCGAGGACATGTCCCTGCCAATATTTATAGCTGACAGTTTGTTCTCACCACGTTTACAAACTTGTTCCAGCAATATATGAATTACTACATAATAATATACTGTACTAACCAGTACATTAACCCCTCTGTTCCACTACATTATTCAGTCATGGTTTCTCTTTAATACATGTAAATTTCATTTCAAAAATACTTTAACTGTAAATAAAAACAAAATTTTGTTTAATTTTCAACATTTCAGAAAGAGCAAGACATGCTGAGAAATCTGTTCCATCCAACTAGTTATCAGTCGTAAACACCAGTCTTTAACCTAATCTATTAACTATAGATTAATATCAAACATGATAAGACTGGGTCATTTAGTTTTACTCTTAGGGCTGCACACTTTCAGTACAGTTTTGTCAGATGTCTGTTCCATTCTTTTCTCTTGGACATGGTGCAGAGAGGTCCTACTGTAAAACCACATTTATTGTTATTAGTTTTTAATCTGGTGGACCACGGGCAGCTGAAACCTGACACAGGTAAGCTACGTATTATTACATGATTGTTTTCTGACATAATTGCCCTATTAGGGCTGGGCAATAAATCTAAAATGTATCATTATCGAACTTTCTGACACTAAACGATATTGTTTTTCCCATGTCAATAAATTGGATGATAAAAAATGAAAAGTTGTGTGTAGGTTGATGGAGTTCATGTCCCTTTAAGAAGCTGTACCACCTCGAGTCGCATGACAATGTGACTCAAGCCTGATTTATACTTCTCTGTCTGAGTGGGTGCGAAGACACGCAATGCCATTATACATCGGTGCAAGGGCTCTCCAACAGGCTCAAAGAGGGTGACGGAAACATGCCCAAAAATTTAAACATCTGTCAAAAGTGACGGAGAATGCAAGCTTGTGATTGGTCAGGACACTGCTTCATGTATATTCATCACCAGCACCGCTGTAGCGGCATTAAAAAGTAAAAATATATTTAGCGGCAGACCCAGAACAGATTGAAGAACGTATTGTGGAAAAAGTCCAAAAATATGAACATTTATTTACCCGTTACTGGAGGAGTAAAAAATATGGCGCAAACATGGACGGAAATGATGGAAAATGTGGGTTTTAGGGCTGCAACAACGAATCGATAAATTCGATGAAAATCGATTACTAAAAGCGTTGGCAACGAATTGCGTCATCGATTCGTTGTGTTGCACAACTCTTCCAAAAGCGCCCCCCCTTCCCGCCCGCCATTGCGCGCAGACCAGAGCAAGTCAGATCAGCGCGAGGGAGAGCCGCAGATCAGCGCGAGGGAGAGCCGCAGATCAGCGCGAGGGAGAGCCGCAGATCAGCGCGAGGGAGAGCCGGCAGATCAGCGCGAGGGAGAGCCGCAGATCAGCGCGAGGGAGAGCCGCAGATCAGCGCGAGGGAGAGCCGCAGATCAGCGTGAGGGAGAGCCGGTACAGGCAGATCAGCGCGAGGGAGAGCCGGCAGACTTGAGCTGCTGCGAACCGGTTCCGCATTGTTAAACAGCGATCCAGGCAGCTGCTTCCAGCGCACGGTCCATTCTCAAAGTGGCGCAACCAAAAAACTATAATTAGCACACGATCGTTCATGTCCGCACATGTTCTCTATTTTCTGTCTTATTTGTGCCTGAAGCGCGCTACTGCGGAGCTCATCACCTGTGCTGTGGTGATGTCACCTCACGCAGCATCGAAAACGCGCTCTGCGCTTTTCGGTCAGGAGATCCCTTTGATCTGCTCAAAAGTAACTGATGAGGTGAAAAGGTAAGAATCCAGGCAACAGATTTTCTGGAGAATTAAGAGGAGATGCAGGGAGATGAGAGACAGACAGGACAGGAAAATAGTTCAATAAAAACAAGAAAACAAA